AAAACAAAGGAAAACATTAAAGGTTTCTGGAAATTCCCCTGAGGGCATACAAAAAGTAGAGAAACATTTATTCAAGAAAATCTATTGAATGTTGGTAAGAACAGCAAGTCTGTGGCAAATGTGTGTGCATCCCTTCCACACCCCTCTCCCAGTTCAGTGTGACAGGATATGTACTCTGGGCAGGTGCAGCCAGGATGACAGGCTTCCTCCTCTCTCCCCAATGCCCAGTCTAGGATCACAGTTTCTGCTCAGGAGGGGCAGGCCACCAGCATTCCTCATGCCTTCAAACACTGTGGTACAGAAGCTGTATTCTAGGGAAGTAAGCACAGCTGAGGCCTGGGCTCCTTCCTTCCACCCAGTCCCAACTCATAGGGTGGAGGCTCTACCCCAGGCATGGCAGGCTAAGAATACTAGGTCCCATACACCCTCCCCCAGCTCACTCATAGGGCAAGTTAGATACAGCCATATAAAACTGACTTCTCGTAAGAAGCAATGAAAGCCAGAAGGCAGCTGGATGACATATTCAAAATACTGAAAGAAAAGATAGCAGTCAACCAAGAGTCTTTGATCTAGCATAACTATCTTTCAAAACTTTCTTGCACACACATTCTCTCTCTCTCTCTCTCAATATCTCCCCCTCCCCCAGAGTGTTATATTCTATAAAGTCTAAGTTAGGTTCCTGGTGCTATGAATTTTTGCTCTATAATTGGCAAATACCTATTATCTATGTCTTGTTATTCTCAGCTGACAAAAAAGAAAAATACTAATTGACTATATTAACATAAATGAGCTGAAATCCTTAATGGAAAGGTGCCTCAAAGATTTTATGAGCCATGCTACTGAGAAAAAAAATGTTACTAAAACAACGAAAAATACTTAGAGATACACAAAGCACAAACTGCTTTTTAAAAATGTTCATTTAGGCCCCTTTCCCCACTAGAGACTAGCCAAAAATTCCCTTACTAAAGCTAAAGGACATAGGCAAAGAAAGGAAGCAGAAAAAGCTTATGATAACCTCATTAAATGCAAGTTAGGAAGTAGCTATCAGAAGCAAAAAACCAAAACAAACAAAAAACCTCAAAGAGAGCATCTAATTGGGTTTAATAAATATTTACAAAATAAATTAGTTTTCCGTTATTCTTGCTATATATTTATCTTTATGCAAAAATTCTCAGTAATAATTTATCTCAACCTGCATTCCAACTGAATTTAATTTTATATTTTTTGCTCCAGCCTATTTACATTCTATTAATATGTTTTCCTTCATAATTTGCATGAGTCTATTGTAAATACACTGTACCAAAGAGACTTTTTTTCCAGCACAAATGCCATCAGTGTATTTTCCTCTTCCTTTTTACTAGCAATTGGAAATGCCTCTCTTTTTAAAAAGATTGCTGTCAGATACAGCCCACAATTAGAGGCTTCAGTTTGGCACAGACATCAACCAAGAGTCAGCCTGTTCACCACAATAACATACTGAAAACCAGGACAAGTCTTCATATTATGTACTTCCAACCCCAGGCCAATTTCGCTGAGTACTTTCCAGAAGATTACTGTCATCACGCAAAAGTGATTTCTCTCTCTCCAAAGAAGGCTGTGTCATTTAAGAGGGATGTCAAGCAAAGTATATATAAAGGGGCAGTATGAAAGGATGGAGTGATGTGGCTTTCTGGTGGCTGGATAGGACCCCCACCAGCCCACTAACAGGAAAGAATGCAATACCTGTTTGGGAGGTCACCATGTCAGCCACCTATTATCTTGAAAGCCTTCAATGAGAACAACACTCCAACAGAGAAGTATGAAAAATTTCCACAAGGTAACTACTGCCTTTGCACAACAAAGCTCTCTGGAATCAAAGTCACATCCTCTAGTATGAAGTCATACTGCTCTGTAACTAACTAGTCTGAGGCTCACACTTTGTTGTTGTTCTCATTGTTATCTTGGATCTTCAACCTACCTGTAAGGGTGCTGTTTTAAATGCAGCTTATTCCATCACTTAGTCTATCACAATGACACTTCTTATTTTACCACTCCCCTCCAATATATGAGCAGCTGAAACAGTGTCATCTGACAGGTGACATAGGCAGAGAAAAAGGACATACACCAAAAGGGGCTGGGATAGTCACAGAAATGAGAGTAGTATGGATGACAGGCCACAGGGGCCCCAGGACCAAATACAATGACTTTGCGATGGATGCTCATGCTCCCATCCAGTGGGTCCCCAAACTTCCTGCTGGCTGTCAAATAACAATAGAGCAGGTCAGGAATTGGCAAGGTAGCTATAGGACTGGATCAACTCATGTTTACAGCTAAGAAAACCCTCTAGGTCAGTGATACTCAAAATATGATCTGGGGACCAGTGTTGGTCCATCAGCTTTCAGTACCAGCCCATGAGAAGACAAGAAAACAAACTGAGAGTTAAGGTTTAAAGACTCTGGAAAAATTCAAGATTGCCACATTTGTCTGCATGATCGATGCACTTGCCTTGTACAGGACATAGACTAATTTGGGTATTACTGAACTTGTGTTTTGAGTCACATATGGTATTGGTCTGTAACATATTAGAGGGAAAAACTGATCCTTTACCACAGGTAGTTGAGGACTGCTTTAGATTCTTATAGAGTTGGACTAAACCATGATAACAGCCCAAAACATTCCCACAAAGATATCATGCACAAATTAGGCATGTTGAAAAAGTTAGCAGAGAAAATATTTTAGCCACAGAATAGAAGACAACCATTCTAGACATTTCACACATGTATCAATATTATTTTGACAACTAGACTGTCCATTTTTCAAAGATAAGTATTTTGTGTTTTACAATTTTAATAGCCATCATTATTCCTATGATAGTACTAGAAAAATCATAGACTTTCATTAACTCCTTGTTTTCTCTTCACTGATTCTAACCTTTATTTACATGGCTGAACCAAAATACATAAAACGCATTTCCACAGAAATACTATTAATAAATGTTTATTTAGTACTGATTGTGTCACTTTATGTGATTAGTCTTTTCAGTGATTTACCATCCAAGACTGGTCTCAAACCTCAGAGGCCTTCAACTACAAGAGATAGAGCTAAGAATGGTTACCTTTAAGAGAAACATGGAGACACCTTCAGCCCTTACCCAGAGTTTATTAACTAATACTTGGGTGTAAAATAAATATCTGGTTACAAACTTGGTTATCAATTGATTCAAATAAAGCTTCTGGTTTTACAAGCTTGGTTATCTATAGATTAAAAATGAGGCAAGGAGTATTGCTAAAAGTAAACATGTCAAGAATAATGAAAAGTGATCAAAGTACCATAAAAACAAAATAGTACAGCAGCCAAGGGGCCACTTAATGTAAAAGCAAACAACCCAATACAACTCCAGAATACATAAGGGAAGTTATTTTTAAACACAGTTCAATAACTAATCTTTACTTTGTTTCACTTAATCATCAAGGAAGTTTCAATTTTGAATAATAAACCCTGGCTAATGAGGCATTCAATATTACATACACCTTAGGAAATTTCCATCAAAAAAGTTGTAATAAAGTATCAGCATTTAAAGGAATAAATGTAAACTACTATTATTTAGATTAGAACCTACTATAATATTTTCTTTCAAGTTTTTTTTCTTAAATTTAAAATAGAAGCAGGATTTAAAGTGGAATATGGAATTTATAGAATGTAATCACTTTTAGCAATATTCCTTGCCTCATTTTTGATCTATAGATAACCAAGCTTGTAAAACAGAAGCGTTATTTGAATCAATTGATGAACAAGTTTGTAACCAGATATTTATTTTACACCCAAGTATTAGTTAATAAACTCTGGGTAAGGGCTGAAGGTGTCTCCATGTTTCTCACATGACATATACATACATACACATGCCCACAAACACTTATCCATTCAACATGTAACTTCAGGAACCTTGTCTAGACTGAGAAGAAGGCATATAAAAGGAGCCAGGCCTGAGGAAAAGAAACAAATCTTTCCATACCACTCTTTACCTTCCCTGGCACCTACCTAACACACAAAAATGGTCCTCCTATGAGAGCACACTAAGAAAAACAAACTCCAAATATGGCAGAATATAATCAAAGTTTCAACAAATATAGACTTACAAAATAGAAAGTGCTAATCAGAAAACCTAATGTAAGAATTTGAAACCACATAGTATAGTCAAGTCCATATTAATTTTGCTAATATCCATAGAAACTATTTACTCAATATTACATACAGTCCTGTAGGTTTATGAAACACAGAGATAATTTTGTAAATGTTTGGGGGCAAAAAGACTCAAAATAAGATTCTGGCAGCAGAGGTGCTGAGATATAACTGCCCTCAGCTTTGTCTTCCAAGGCCCAAGCAATCTAGACTCGTCCAACATTCCAGCACCCCAGGATATCTTTGAGTCTATGCCTCTACTGTCACCCTTACTGGAGTTCCCTCCTTTCTTCCCTACATTTATCTATACTTTGTTCCTCTTTCAGGGTCCAGCTCAAGTCTCATCTACTATAGGAAATCTTTCCTGGCCATTCCAAGTCCAAGTAATCTACCTCTTATGAGAGCCCCAACACCATTTAACTTATACTGCATAGCTTGGCTCTTAAGTATAATCTTGGAGATGTTTCATGTGTGTTGGTTTTTGTCCTCTGTCCCCAATCAGGGACAAACTCACAGAAAAGACAGCTTTATTGACTCACCACAATGAGGAATTGATGCACAGCAAAAGAACTATAGAGCATCTCACTGAAGTAAAGGCGTTATTAAAGGATTGGGGGAAGAGTGGAGTTAAGGTATAATTTAAATGAAGAGGCTTCAACCAAAGCAGGACTGTATTTAAAGAGATCAATATCAAGTCTGGACGATGAAGTAGACCAAGGATCCTGTTTCCTTGAAAACAATAAAATTAGCAAACTGTGGAATATTGTGTCCAGAAACCCCTTGCCTGAAGCACTGCACCTAAATTGTAAATCGAAGCTGCTTCTCTTTGTCACAGTGACTTAGGTTGCCCAGCTAAGAGTGGGATGGTTTACTTCATAATTTCAAATAGCAAAGTTTCTGACAATTTGTGATTTTAGAGAACAAGTTTCTCAGTCAGTAAAAAGAGCAGTAATCAGGCCGGGCACAGTGGCTCACGCCTGTAATCCTAGCACTCTGAGAGGCTGAGGCGGGCGGATTGTTTGAGCTCAGGAGTTCGAAACCAGCCTGAGCAAGAGCGAGACCCCATCTCTACTAAAAATAGAAAGAAATTAATCGGACAACTAAAAATATATAGAAAAAATTAGCCGGGCATGGTGGCACATGCCTGTAGTCCCAGCTATTCGGGAGGCTGAGGCAGAAGGATTGCTTGAGCCCAGGAGTTTGAGGTTGCTGTGAGCTAGGATGACGCCATAGCACTCTAGCCCGGGCAACACAGTGAGACTCTGTCTCAAAAAAAAAAAAAAAGAGCAGTAGTCATCCAAAGAAAGGGGTTATAACATTTTACAACTGTAGCCTGTTCTTGGGAGAAATTCCTGTTAATTTGTTTTATTGTATCTGTTATTCCAACTGGCGAACAGCAGGGCAGATGTTTACAGTCCGAGCTAATTTTTACTTTTTCATTCTTCAATAAGCCAGACAGCAGACTCCTCAATGGCTAAAAACATTTTTATATTTGTTCATGTCCTACATAAAACTGAGCAGTGCTGAGCACATAAGCAGATGCCATATAAATATGCTGTTTGGCATCTGATTGATGGGTAATGAAGTTTGAAACAACCAAAGCCACAAACAATGGGACGTAATTATAAAGCTATATAGCCTTATAAACTCTTCTTAAGTAGTCTATGTAGGGGAAAAAAAAAAGCAGTAAGAGGGAAGCAGATTTCTTACCTACAACACCAAAAGCTGAAACAGCTCGAAATAATCCGGAGGATCCTTTCTGTCCCATCTTTGTTCTATTTCCTAGATCCAAACGGCCAAGAAGTTCCCTCACTTCTTGTTGAGTATATACATGCTAAAAATAAGCATATTTCAGCTGTCAGGTTGTGCTTACTCTTTAGATTATTATTTACTCCTGAAAATTAAAAGTTGCCTACAAAAATCATTAGCTATTTCATAGAGAAGTATATAATAGCACACAACTGAGCTACAATTTTTAAAATCCAACAAGTTCTTTATCATTAGCAGTTAAGGTTGGTTATTGGATCATGTTGCTATGCTAAAAGATTGTGTCCAAACTGTATACTCTGAACCAGAGATTCAGAGATTTAAGAAATCCACAGACAAATTTCAAGAAGTATGTGAATACCTTAAATCAATAGCAAAATTTGGAGTATATGTACATTTTTATGAGAAGGCCCACAGCTTTTCTTAGCTTCTCAAAGGACTCCCTGATCAACCACTCCCACCCCTAAACAAAGCCAAGAACTATTATATTAATAAAAACTCCCAGATAGGTGGTGGGGAGGTGAGGGAAGGATGGACTCCTAGGAATAGTATGGGAAATCATAACAAAGAATTTACCTAAAATTATTATAATACAGAAAATAGTTCTGCAAAAAGCTAAGGGAAAATGGGTTCCAAAATGCAGCTACTAACATACTTGAGAAACCAGGAATCTACATGAATTCAGAAATATCCACAGACAGGAACTTCAATATAAGAAGTAAGTTAAGTTCTCTCATTTGACAAAGTTAAAATTAACTGTACAACACCACCATATTGTACTCAACTTCTGACTAACAGCTTCATGTTTGTGTGCCACGTGTATTAAGCCTTTGTATTCCTGACTCTGAATAATACATCTCGATAAGAACAGCTTAACATTTCTTTAGTATATAGCAAGTCATCAGAAGAGGTCTTTGGAGGTGATTTTTAACATAACAAAAAGTCTATAGCATAGAAGTCTTCATATTAAAGCACAGTAATAGATAATCTCTTTGGTAGATGCAATATTAAGTTACATTGAATCCTTAAAATGTCAACTCTTTATGAAAATATATTCATTATCTTTTCCAAAGAATGTGTTTTCAAAACCAAATGAAAATGAGGGGCAAAGTATAATTCTGGCATACTTCTTGACATCAGTAATTTCTAGAAACCAGACTGGAGATTCAAATTCTAGCCAACCAAGAAAAATAATTAATTTTTAGATGCATGATAAAAAAATTAATATATCACTAGAAACTATAAGAGTATCTCATATCCTTTAAACAACAGGTATGAAAGTTTCTGTTTGTAGTCAGATTTGGAAGATACTTACCCTATCATCAATTATGACCAAATCTTTCGGTTCTGTTCTATCAATTTTCAAGACACGATATTTCGTCTCTGCATGATTGCTCCCAACTAGAAAGTATCTCTGTAAATAAAAAGAAATGTCACTAGTTTCTTAAGGCATTTTGCTCTATACACTTCTTATAACCACTTCAATTTTTGAAATTAAATACATTAATAAAGTCAGGTTACTTTTTAAAGAACTATTTCTGTTAAGTGGCAGATTAAAGAAAGGCTGACTCCAAAAGGTCAATTTTAAAATTGAAATATTCCTAGTGGTTTCATGATAAGGATCAGTGTGATGTCTGAAATGTGCCCAGTAGCCATGTCAGATGAATTTAATTATATTATAAAATTAGAGATTAAACTAAGTGATCAGAGACTGATTTTTAAGCTTTGTCAGGAAGAAATTCTGGTAAGAACTAGAAAGCTCAACATATAATTAGGAATGCTTAGACAATTATTGCTATTAAAATACTGACAGTTTATCAAATAAATCTTTATAAATTTTCAATAGAAGTCCGAAAATGACTTTAATATAGCAACTATAACAACCTACCCCAAAGTCCTATAAAAGATAAAATAGTTGTACTTTCTCAAATGGCCTCTTAAGCTACAAGAAATAATTAATATTCTTTTTTTACTTGGAGCATTATGCCTGAACACAATAACATCGGCCTTCTTAAATGAATACTGAGAATAAAATGAATAACAAAAATGTAGGAAAATAATAACTTTATATTTAAATAAAATGGTTTTAAGAAAAACTAAATGAGGTGAATTATTTTTAAACTACATTTAAGAAAATAAGTACAATTCAATTAGCAAAATCAAAGATATTTTTCTTCAAAAATGTCCTTTAAAAAGTGACACTTTTTCAACATTGCAAAAGTTGAGAAGACATTACCACAATGAACTGGCACTATTTACCACTGGTCATATGAGGTATAGCTACACAAAGCAATTAAATAATAAGACTTTCTAGATTAATAGCCAAACTGAAGTATGGAAACCGTAGAAAATTAGGGCAGGAAAGATTAATATGGTTTACTATAGATGCTGAAACTGTCAGAAGAGTCAGGTTTAGAATTGAGCCTTCAAGAATGAGTAAGATTTTTAAAAGTAAGATATTACTATATATCAGAATAGAAGCACTTGGTTATACTATTTTAACTCTAAATGCTAGAAATAGATGGGGTTTTTACTATTATTATTATTACATATATATCTATTTATAAAGGTCTGATGTACTTATAGGTTATGAAGAACAAAACTAAAAGATGATGGGTTAGCTTGGGATCAAGAAGAAGGTTAAGCAAAAAACTCAATCCCTTATCTCCTAGGAGAGGTATAGTCTGGATGACAACCAGTTATAATGAGGTGGAAATAAAGTGATCATAATAAAAATTAGTCAACCAAGTTGGGACATCCAGTGACAGGACTCAATGTACTGGGGGCATAGCTAGAAGGGCAGGGAAAGAGAGAGGGAGGAAGTCAAAGATGATCTCAGCCAGGCTTCAGCTAATTTCTGTCCCTGAGACCCTACCCACTACCGAGAGGAGAGAGGATAACCAACCTAATAAAACTAACTTAAGAAGAATGACTTGTAAACTATACGTGCTTAACTACACTAACTTAAGAAGAATGGCTTGTAAACTATACAGCAGAAAAGAGAGACACCTTATCTAGGACTTGGAAAACAGCTCCCAGGGGAAGAAGCTTGGTGCCTTTGTTAGAGGAACAAGGTTAAGACCACAACACAGTGAATACAGTGCTCAACACAAAGAAGACACTCAATGAGTGTTAGTTCCTTTTCTCTCCTTTACTTTTTAAGATGTCAGCAAGTCTGTGCCATTGTATTTGAGGAAAAAGACAAAAAACAGGGGAAAAAAGATAGCGGCCCATAGCAAGGAAAGCACGCACAGGACCAGAATGGACCCAGACTGGGAGAATGCACCAATCTGTTAGTAATCTGTGTTTGTCCTTGGGAGAGAAGAGCATGCAAATTAACAACCATGAATACCGTGTTACAACAGAAGCATGAACTGGACAAGAACACAGGAAAGGTGGC